AAAAAAAAAAAAAAGATCTACCCAGAAAGGTTAATGTGAGGGTTGATGACATTAAATACAGTGAACTCCCTAGCACACCATCTGGTACAATGTGGACACTCAACAAATGAGCTCTTACGATCATTCTCATCATGAACATTTTGGATGGAAAGTGAGAAGTGAGAGATGTCCCATGGGAGCTGGGGTGTTGGGCCCAAGAGCGAGGACAGGAAGGCTTTGTGAAGGAGGTGATCCCCGACTCAGGGTTTTCCTCGCCCAGACTCACCCTGTTGTGCTGGGCCTGCAGGTCAATCTCCAGGGCCTGGAAAGTGCGCCTCAGCTCATGGATGTTGCTCTGGCTGCTCTGGACAGCTATTGGACTGGCCGCCTCCTGGGCCATGGCTGCTGCCTGCGAGACCAAGCAAAGAGCAGAGGCATTGGCGCTGGACCACATGGAAATGGACCCTTTGGGAAGTTTGGGCACCTTTCTTTTACCTTCTCTTTATACCAAACATCCAAGTCTCGGTGCTTCTTCTTTATCATAAACTCGTATTCCTGCCTCATATTCTCCAGGGCCTTAATCAGATCTCCCCCAGGGGTTGTATCCACCTTCACATTGACCTTGAAGTCATTTGGCACACGCTGTTCCTCCATTTCCTGTTTAATAACAGAGACAGAAAATGAATTGGCTGAGATGATCAGAAAGAAGTGCGTTGATTGGCAACAGTTAATGGATCTTCTAAAAATTCAGCTTATGTGGTTGCTACTCGTTCATTGGCTTGGTTTGGCTTCTCAGTTATTTTGTCATCTGTTGATGACAAAACATTATAGCATCCCCCCCCCCTTATACTTTTACAAAACAAAGAATCACACCAGACAGGTAATAAAATGGCCTTTATGATTACTGACTTAATCCCTGGTGAAAATGTTTCAGCAAGAATTATGCTTACATAGCATGCACAGTACTCTTCAGTAAATGTTCATGAGTGAAGTGATGCCACAATTAAGCAGTTGAGCATTTCGGGTTATAGACTAAAGCTCTTGGGGAAGTAGCTCAGTAAAAAAGTAGCCCAAAGCCACAAGGTGTAGAGGCTTTTAAAATCTCTTCAGTGCATTAGGACCCTGTAGGACTGATGCCCAGAGGACATCATGAAAACCAAGAAACCAAAGGAAAGGTTTAATTAACAGTCATTGTCTAACCAGCTGTTCAGAAACTGGAGCTCTTTCGTGTTCATAAGCAATTTTGTTTGCCCAAAATAAGGGTTGTTTTTCTATCATGTTATCAAAGTCTCAGGGACTTGAGATGGATGGTAATTTTTTGAAAGTTGCTTAAATGTTTCTGGAAATTAGAATTCTTAATTTTTGCCACTAGTTGTATTTACCTTGGTCAGTGGCAGATTCTCTTTATTCTATTGTCCCTCAATTGGCTGCACCTTGGGTCAATGAAGGGAGTTCATTCTCATACATTTATTCTTCCAATATCATATTAACAAACAAATCTAGGTAAACATGGCATATTAAAATTGGTGACCCATCCATTGTTCATTGTGATTGTACTTTGGCTGTTGTATTTTACATTTGCGTAGATAACCTTGGAATGGGAAACATTAGATGCTTATATGGTTCCTTGTGATTACTTAGGTTGAAGGACAATAGCACTGGTATAGAGGTGGTTGCTCCTGTAGCTATTGCATCACATGAAATGTGCAAATGAAGAGCTGTGCTGGGGAGCCCTACCTGCTCATGGCGCTTCTTCATGAGGATGAGTTCTTTCCTCATCCCCTCGACATCCTGTTCCAGGTCTGTTGTGATAATGGTCAGATTGTCCAAGGCCTTTCGGAGACCCTCAACTTCAATTTCCAAGTCTCTCTTGAAGGAGTGTTCATTTTCATACCTTTGGTTAGAAGGAGGGAAAAGTGCACCTGTTGTTGAAAGGCATGGTCTTTGTGAGGATTCACCTTGTTTTAGAGGTGAATCTCTTACTTTTTAGATTTAATGGGAGCAAATTAATCCATGCTATGTGTGCTTTGTATGGTTGTTTCATGCATATCTTTCTATGATGTTGACTCAATGTCCTATTTTTTTAAGTTAGAATAAAATATTCAACAACCACATGCCCATCACCTAGATTTAGCAAGCATTACCATTTTGCCATATTTGCTTCATCTGTATTCAATTTTGTATTTTACTGTAAACTATAGATGTTGTGACGGTTCATCCCTAACTACTTCAGAATGAATATTTTAAGAAAAAAGATATTTTAAAAAATAAGCATAGTAACATTATCACACCCCCAAAATGAACAATTACTTTTTTTTTTTTTAAGCTGAGACATCCTGCCGCCTGTTGGCTGCTCAGCGGCAGCTCAGCTTGGGCCAGGCATGGAACCGCTGTTGCTCAGAGCTCGCACTCTTGAGCGAGCTCTTAAGAACTGAGCCACTTGGCTGGCTCCAACAATAACTTTTAACATCATGTAATTCTTGGTTCATATTCGAAGTCCCTCACACCAAAAACTGTGTTTTATATCCGGTTGAAGTATTTATTCTTGTTATGCCTTTTAATTGTATTTTAGTAAGATTGTACATGTGGGTAATGGTGAGATAAATTTTTCTTCTGCAAAACAAAAACAAGAGCAACCCAAACAAAACAAAGCCACCAACCCCTCCCCCACCCCCACGACACTGTGAAGAAGGCACTTACTTGAGGTTGAAGTCATCCACTGCCATCCTGGCATTGTCGATGAGAAGAATGATGTGAGCATTGGTCAGCTTACCATCCACTACCTGTAAAACATGTGAGAACAGTCGTTCCGGTGGGACACACTACACAGGAAAGCTCCCTTTCCGCTCTCTAGTCCCCTGGGTATATGACTTGTGAGCAAAGATAACTTCTTCTGGCAGTGGAACAATGCATAATTAAATCAATAAATGTTCACCAAGGTGCAAAGCCTAAGACTGTATTTATAGTAAGGGTATGGTCTGCATTGTGTTTTTACAGGGAGTGTTGACAGGCTAGGACTGATGCAAATGCTGAAAAAATGATGTAGGAAAGGGAAAGAGCAATTGTTCAAAATGCCTTCAACTCGCGAGAACTGTGAACATATCTTAGTGTTTTGCTTAAGCTTATCCACATCTTGAGCTATGAAAAGTGGTTTAGGTTCTGATCCTTTTCTTATTGTCCATATTAGTTTGGTTCCCCTAAAATACAATAATTATTTTAGATTCTTCTTGTGATAACACAATTCTTCTTGCGATAGCATTCCTATTTCTGGCCAGTATCACTGATACTGATGTTTGTTTGTCAGACTAATTGTATTACTGATGTTGGTTTGTCAAACTAATTCTAAATGTATTTTGCAGAACATTTAAACTAATTTAAGATGTGTTTTATAATAGTCATCACATACCATAATTATTTTTTGTCCACAGTGACTGTAGTCATATACATAACTTATAGGGATGTGTGTTTGTTTGTAAATTGTTCCATGAGGAGAATGCCCCAATTGCAGTTATTAAAATATTAACTGAAATAATTCTTTACCATCTAATGAAGTGGCTTAATTAACTTTTACTATGTTGAAGCCTCCAGTTAAAGACTTTCACTGGATGTCTTTACTTTAAAAAGAAAAATATTATTGAAAATGTCTACCTGAGCAATTGTGTATACATACGTGATTTGTAAATACTTCCTGGTAGTGTAATCAGAGAAATAATGCACATTTGATGTATGTCACTGTCATCAGGAAAATTGGGTGGAAGATGTCTTAATGTCAAAAGTATAATAATACATGTGTGCCAAGTACTGTGCTGAACTAGGCACTGGGAGATTTTCCTTTTACTTCCTGTTGCGACCATGGCTGTGAACTTGGGTCAGTCTCTCTAACTCCCTGGGCTTCAGTTTTTTCATCTGTTAAGTAAGGAGTTTGTACTAGAAACAGGTGACCTGAGAGGTCCTAGCTCCAAACTTCTGTGACTTAATGGGAACCAGAGAATCTTGTGACATTCCCTTGTATTTATACAGATAATTCCTTCATTTAGAAAGGATTTTCATAGGGCAAAGATATATCTCAATACAAAGGCACCTTTAAAAAATCCATTCCTATTCAAAGCTCCACTGGTTACATGGAATTTGGTATCATGAATGCACAATAGCAGAATTCAGAGTTGGTAATAACACTGGGTTTGGAACTCAAAGAGCAGGACCTGGGATCTTTCTCCAACATTCACTAGTTTAGTGAGCTTGCCGAGTGTCAGTGTCTCCATCCATAAAATGGCAATAATAGTAATAATAAGAATAGCCACTTCTCAAAGAATTATGAGAATTAGATTAGAAGAGATTAAATTAAATAATAGTGTAAAATAGTATATTCCAGGCATACTGTAGACACTCTGAAAAATTCGTTGAAACTAAACTAGTTCAGAAAAATGTAAATTGCTTAATTTTCTTCTTTAAAATCTAGCACTTTTGTAACTAAAGCCAATGTCTGCAATTGGACAAATCCCAGGCTTTATATGTTGAGTTGCCCCCTCAAACTTTGGTTGTGTTGGAGATAGCCAGGCTGGCTGCCCCTGCCCTGGGTGGATTCCAAATGGTATCATGGGTACTTCCCTTGCTCTAAAAAAGGGTTCTGTAGGTATTTCCTTGTCTTCCCTTTATGGTGCTTCTTAGGACTTTCTTATCAAATGCTTTTCCCTCCAGGCTTTTTATCCTTTACATTTCTAAGCTCATGGGAAATAAATGTAGCTCCACCCTAAAAGGCCTGGGAACCCCTAGGGTTAGCCTTAGTTGTGCACTGAAGTGTCGAGTGACATCCAAAGAAATCATGCACTATACACTCCACAGAATGAGAACATTAAAAATGTCATCCATGGGCCGGCCGAGTGGCGCATTGGTTAAGAGCTGGCTTGGGANGGTTGGACCTGCATGTGGTAATCATTTCACTATGTATATGTATATCAAAACACCTTAAGTATATACAATTTTTATTTAAAAATACATACTGAAAAAGAAATGTTCTATCCTTAATCTAGTGCTTTCAGTTAGTTACTTCGATGGCTTTGCATGACTGTGCCATTGTCACCTCAAGTGAAATACTTAGCTAGCTAGTGTGATTGTTTTGCCAGTGGAATGTAAGCCTCTCAAAGTAGCACAGTGAAATCATACTTACAATGTTACTGGGTGCCAGGCATACTCTAAGAGCGTTGTATGCATTAATTAATGCCATCATCTCAACCTTATGAAGTAGATGCTATTAATAGCTCCTCTGTTAAATATGAGGAAGTGGAGATAGAGAGGTTAACTATTATAACTTGCCCAAGGTCTCTCACCAAGCGGTGGAAGGGCTGGGAACCAAACCCAGCTGACTTAGCTTCAAGTATCCGTTCTTACTCAGCGTGTGATTTTGCTTCGTGACCAGATCTGGCCAATGGTCTCTTCTGGTTTTCTCTACTGCCTTCGTAGAGGCCGCTTGTTCTGAATTTTCATCCCAGTCTTCTTATCTCCTTCAAGTTACAGAGGCTTCTTACATGGGTTGTAATTTTTATTTGCCTTCCGCTGGGAGACTTTTCTCTGCACCCACAAAAGTTATGCCGGGAGTGGGTGGAAAGGGGAGCAATTTCTTGGAGAGAGACAGTGAAGGGGGGCACAGTAATATTTTTTTTCTGATGGGTCAATGGAAAATGAGCTGACAAACACTTATTCCCCATTGAGGTACAGAGAGAAGAGCTTTCTACTCTTATACGCATTTATAAGTTGGGGGTAGGCAGTTCTCTACAACCACCTACATGGATTTGGAGAAATTCAGCCCAAAGTGTAGTCTCTCTCTAGGCTTCAGGGCCAGTAGAGTTAAGTGTCTTCTCCAGTGGCCATAGATATCAAGGAGGTAAGTACAGTCCCCCCGAGGGTAACTCCCAAGTACCTGCTAGACCCATTGGACCGCTATAAGGAGATTCAATATCAGGTTTTTGCTCTTGGCTTAGAAGAAAGGCCTTCTTGATTTCTTTCTCTCTTTGTTCTTTAGAGAAGGACACAGAAAAGGGAGCCCCAAACCTGCTCTCTTTCTAGGAAACAGTAGGAGAAACTTTAGCCTCAGATGTTTTCTCCAGGTACCACCAGTATGTCCACCTTGATTGCTATGTTGTTCCAGATGAAGTCGGAGGACAGAGATTGAGAGACTGAGATTGAGATTGGGGGTGGGAAGGTGGGAAGGGAAGGAGGAGAAGAGAGAGAGGATCAAGAAAAACATGTTCAGAAACTTTGCTGCTGGTGACACCTTAATTGGGATATGTAGAAACACTGGCGTATTACATATTTTCTTATGTGCGTGTAAATGGTGGCCTGTGGCTCACAAGCATCACCTAAGAAAACTCTCCAAATATCATGCTTAACCTGAAATGATAATTCAATTAAATAAACCTTTTCAGTGTTGCCGAATAAGGCTCCAATTTGAAGTGGGTGCACGGGTTGTTGCCATGAAACTTGTGAATCATGCATGAACACACTGACCAGATATTTCTAGCCAGTCAAATAGCCAAAGGAGTCATTTCCTCCAGAAGACGCTTGATTACAGTGTTGAAACAATGCATTCCAAGCTTGCTTGCACTGACACTAAAACATAATACTGTGTCATGGATGCTGGTTGCCTCAGCCTGGAAATTCTCCCTGGCACAGAAGGAGTTCTTCCCTTCTCCTCTGGGACACTCTCTTATTCTCCCTCCCTCTCATTTGGAGAGGGCATTTGCTTTCAAAATGCTTTTTATTAGCAAAACTCTTATTTTAAATCAAAATGAACAGAATCAGGATACACCTACAATGAGTGAGATGCTTTTCTCCATTGTTTGATAAATGGAAATTGTGCAAATTAGTAATTATAACAACATAGAGTCATTAACCTTTAAAGAACTTAAAGATCTTATTGATAGCATCTAATTGCCTTAAAAGACACCAGAGAGAGGGGGTGGGGAGTTGGAGGATGTTGTTCCTGGGGTCNTCCTCTCCTTTCTCTCCCAGAATTAGAGGAGAAGTCAGGGAAGAGTGGCCAAAATGGTCTGGGGGGACAGAATCAATCCAGGTAGCTGTTTTTTTTTAATATTGAGAACATAAAAAGTCAATTAGGGAATAAATTCTTGCAAAGTGTATATTGGTTAAAAAAGGAAAAGGCAATTTTGCATGATGGTTAAAAGTGCAGTAGCTCAAGCCACACAGTCCTGGGTTTGAATATTGCCTCTGACACCAACTATCCATGTGACTTTGGTAAGTTATGAACATCTCGTACGTCAGGTTCCACGTTTGTAAAATGAGTTGTTGTGCAGAAAATGCACATAGAAAGCACCGAACACCCAGTCTGTCACATTGGAACTACACGGTACATTGTTATTGTAGCTATAAAAAGATGACCCCAGAAGGTTATAGAGTTTGTTTACATCCTCAAACTATTAGTTAAGGTATGAGCCTTAACATACACTATCTTTCCATCGGTTGTGTTCCCTGAGGCCTGAAGTACAACCTGGAAACTTGATTGGTTGGTGGAGTTAAACACGGATGACTTTGCTACTGTATGTATCAATCTCATGTTTTGGTCTCGGTGTTTCATGGAGCTAAAACATGAAGTATCTCTTAAATTAGAGAATTTAAATCACATTTAGCGAAACATTTCACAAATGATTTATATCGAAAAGTATGAAATTGCATAAAATCAAGGCTTTTCCTGAAGGTCCAGGGCAGACAGTTACCATAATTAGGGTAGATGTGAATATTTGTCTTTTATTTACAACCCATCTTGTCT